ACTGGCTACTGGCTGCTGGGCTCCAGATGATGTGTATGTACTATGCCTTGGTAGAAAGTTTGTCTGCATTTTGCTCATGTCCAGAGTCTGCCTGAGACTGAGATTAAGGGCAGCAGACTAATCTGGTAGAAAAAATTCCAAGGCTTTCTAATGTTGAGGTGATGGCATGGATGCTGTTGGGGGCTTTTAGCCAGATCTATGTTGAGAGTCAAGAGCAAAGAGGCAAGCAGAGTGATTTAAAATGGTTTGAGTTTGGCCAGAAAGGAAAGCCCAGTAAAGTTGCAGCTTTTAAAGATAGAGCGCAGGAGACCTTGATTGCTGAGAAGGAACAGGAGTAAAAAGATGGCCTGAGGACATCACAAGCAGAAGAAAGACTCCACCCTTTTTAACCTAAAAATTGCAAAAGTGAAGAACTTTCCTTTGAGAAGAGAGCCCCAGGGCACCATGTTCCAGGATGAAGGCAACCTAGGGAAGTTGCTGCTTGAAATTTGGCTCAGAGGCATTCAACCCCTTCAGCCAAGAGAAAAGGAAGCCTGGCTACTGCTCTAGTCGATGGAGGACTTTGGCATCATCTGTGTGGTTCTGGTTTTAGGCATATGAAGAATGCAAGAGTCATGGGGGTCATGAAGGCTTCTAGCCAGATTTCAGAAGGCCTGGGAGGCCAGGAAGTGTGACCTCAAAGAGCAGTGTGTGAGGCTGTGACTATGAAGCTGAAGGTACACTGGAGGCCCCAGAAGTTTAGAGAAACCAGGAATGTGGGTCATCTAAGGAAAACTACATGTAGGGAGCAGAGCCAGCCCCAGAGAGAAGCCATGGGAGCTATAACCACTGGCAGTGCAGTAGAGGTGGAGGAGCCACCCACAGATTTCTGGGGATGCTAGAAATGGAACTGTGGGATTTAATGTTTGCCCTGTTGGATTTTAGACTTGCTTTGGTCATATTCCTTTGTAGCTCTCTGTTTGTAACTCTTGGAATGGAAATATCTATCTTGTGCCACTGAAGGTTAGAAATGTTTATCTTTCTTTTCATTTGTATGAGGGCTTGAGGCTAAGAGTTTGCCTTAAATCTCAGAGGAGACTTTGGAATTTTCAGCAATGCTGAAAATGTTAGGTCTCTGGAAGTCTTAGAGATGGACTAAATGTCTTTTGCATAGAGGAATGTATGAGTCTTTGTGGGGCCAAGGGAAGAACGCTATGGTTTGGGTCTCCAAAGCCTCATGTGGTCATAGGTGGCTTTTTCAAAAGTGGCTGAATCTAGAGTCTGTGATACTGGGATTAAGGGTGTGTGATTATTACACTGATTGGTCTGGCCCTACCCTAATCCCAGTAGTCTGGATAAGATAAAAGTGGCAGAAAGATGCATTAAGGTCCCTTGTTGCTTTTGCTCTTTTCTGCTGCCTGTTGCCCCTCTGCCAAGCCCTGCCTCGGAGCCAGCCAGTTGTGACTGAATTTTCTACAAATCGTTAGCTAAATAAACCTTTCCCCTTCTAAATTTGGGTTCAGATATTTTGTCTCAGCAACAAGAAAAGAAACTAAGGCAGACTATATAAGTGAAGAAAGTATAATACAGTAAAAGGAATAAAATTAAAGGACAAACCCTAAATACTGAATCTGTTACTGACCTTTATGATGCAGAGCAATTATCTGATGTTTCAATTCATTTACTTATAAAACAATAATAGCCATAATATTTGAACCTTTATTTTATACCACACACTACATGAATCACTTAATAATGTACTTTATTCTATTAATTTCCTCACAATCCTATGAGACAGACATCATTATCTCCAATTTACGAGGAAAACTAATTTAGGGAGATCAAGTAACATGCCCAAATAGCACTGCTGTTAAGTGCAGAACTGGGAATTTTAATGTGATTCTAAGCCTACACTGGTTTTGAGGTTGTGCGAATATTAACCACTGTTCAGTAAATGTTCTCAACTTCTAGTTTAGTTTATTTGTATGTATGTGCTTTTTCTTCTGATCTAGGTGAAAACTTTCAGGAGAAATGATGACTTCCATTAGTACCTTGCATATTCCCATAATGACATTGAATAGTTAACTATAAAACAAACACAAATTTATTTCCAGGTGCTCAATTCCCAAATTTTTCATGGGAAACAGTTAAGATTACAGATGCTTTTCTGAAATACATCCCTCTTGTAACTGTGTATTCTGTTATAATCTCAATTTATCAACCAGTAAAATAGCAGTTTAAGTTCCTCTCTAAACATTTAAATGACTTCCAGAAAAATACTATTTTAAAGTTTAACACTATCTAAAGTTTAGAAATCAGAAAATTATTGTTTCAAATACTTCCCTGAATGTTTTAATTGTAAAACTAAGGGCTGAACTCATGTTTATAGCAGCAGTTTGTAATAGCTAGATGTTGGGAACAACCCAAATGCTCATCAACTGATGAATGGATAAGGATATGGGTTTTTTTTATACAATGGGGTACTACTCTGCCACAAAAGAGGATAAACTTGAAGCATTTCTAGCTAAATGGATGTACCTTGAGACCACACTCTTAAGTGAAATAAATCGGACACACATTTAAATAACTTTCCTATCACTCTCTGTTGAAAATTAAAATCTAATAGCATATTAGTAAAAGAAATATATAATAAATACGTAGTAAATACAGTAAATTATAGAAATCAAATATGTGGTACCTCAGGTGGTGGCAGTCTGATAGTGCAAACTTCTATACTTAGACAAACTTGAGCTTCTGTTACATTGACGTCTAATACTAGAAAAAAAAATTTAATGTGAACTATCTGGAATTACTATTCTATCAAGCTGAGTATTTTAATAAAAATTAATTTACTCATTAGAAATTAAATGAAGAATGTTTTTTGCTACATAGAGAGTAAAATTTAAATATTTATCATATAATATTTGACAGTCTACAGATAAGATATCCAAAAGACAAAGATATTGGGCCAGGGATTTAGCTCAGTGGTTCTGCTGCCTTTCTCACAAGCACAAGGTCCTGAGTTTGATCCTCTGCACACATCCCCCAAAAAAACAAAGATATGAAACAAAATGGATATGTATGAGGCAAATCATAGAACAGAGTTATAATAAAAAAGACATCCTACAGTTAAGAAGAAAACTCAACAAATGCCTTATATCAGTCTGATATCTATTGTATATTAGAACTAGATGATGACCTCTTCTAATGTTAGGAAAGGCTGCACACTAGGCTTTTCACTTGAGTAGTCTTTTACTAGCAAATTTCATCAAATATATTGGCAGATACATTGCAGATCTCCTATAGCCCTGGAAACACTTCCTTACTTTTTCATGGTCACTTAGTGGTGACTGTGGGAAGGGATTTTATCCAAAGAAAGCTGCTGTTGTTTAAATATGAAATGTTGGACCAGGGATTTAGCTAAGTGGTTCCAGCACCTGCCTTGCAAGCTCAAGGACACGAGATCAATCCCTGGTACAAAAAAAAAAAGAAAGAAAGAAAGAAAAAGAAATGTTTCCCCCAAGACTCAAGTTCATTCAGGGCTTTATCTCCAATGAAGTAAGGTTCAGAGGTGGGCCAAAAGCAGTGACTGAATCACAAGGACACTAACTCATCAGGAGATTAAACCACTGATGAGTTCATAGCTGAACGAGTTATTAAGAGGTAAGTCACACTTGGAGAAAGTATGTCACTGACAGCAAGTCTTTGATGGATATGTTCTTGTCCTCAATCCCTTCCTCTTTCCTGGGCTCTTTCCCTTTCACTCTGATTCTAGCCTGCCATAAGGTGAGCAGCTTTTCTCTACAATGTCCTTCTGCCATGGTTTATCTCCCTTGCCACAGGCCTAACACAATGGAACCTCTGAAATTATGAGTCAAAATAAACATTTCTTTCTTTAAGTTGTTTATATCAGGTATTTTGTCCCAGCAATGGAAAACTGAAAGCAATAAGGGCTTTCTGGAATATGATTAAGTTTGTTTTTTTTTAATCTGAGAACCAGTTGCAAGGATATTTAGCATGTGAAAGTTCAATGAGTATACACTTAGATTTTCTGAATTTTGCCTAAGTATATGACATTTTGATAAGAGTAAAAAAAAAGATTTCTAACACAGGTAAAAAGAATTTTAGTCTTCTACATTTTTATTTTTATTATCTAGCTGTGGCCTCTAAATTTAAGTAACAAACCTCTTCATACAGAGAAATTGTAGTGACTGCCTCTGTATAACAGAATTATAAAACTAAAGTTAATAGGGCAATCAGACTTCATCAGAATAGTCTTTTCAGCTCCAATAGTGGATTACATATCAGGATACACTATGCCCAAAGGGTAGGTAGGGAAAGTTATCACAACTGATTAATAATGTCTACTCTAGGCTTAGGATTCCCAACTCTGTGCTATCCAAGGACTACTGTTTAGGAAACTATCTATTTGTATTTGCAATACAACCATATAAATCAAGGAAAGAATTGATTGGACTTTACAGTAAATGCTGTACTTTAGATTAGCTATGTTACTTTAGACAACCTTTTTTAAGGATAAAAAGAATCTATTAAAAAAAATAGAGCTTTGAGCCAGATGTGGTGACTCACATCTGTAATCCCAGTACTTGGGAGGTTGAAGAAGGAAGACTACCATGAGCTTGAGGCCAGCCTGTGCTACAGAGCGAGTTCAAGGCCAGCCTGAAGTACATAGTAAGACCCTGTCTCAAAACAAAAACAAATTAAATAAAAAAGGTTTTGACTTTCATCAGTACTGATAAAATTTTCAATGATTATGATTCTAGAAATTAAATATTACAAATACCTGCAGAAATAAACCCTTTCATAGTTATTTTAAGTAGAGACTATAAAAGATAGCTTTTTTTCCAATTCAGATGAGTGAGTTTTTCTCAAATAGATAAGTATATATTTTGAATTAAAAGTGATTTCCCAGTAAAATTTTGATTACAATGTCTGATTAGATCATGATATAATTTAACCATTAATAGTATAACAACCCAATGGCCTATAACATTGCTTTTTAAAAACCTGTTAATTATATCAATATCTTATATATTGACTTTTATACTTCTACTTACCAATAGCACTTTGCTTTCCCATCTGAGAGAGAAAATCTCTTCCTTTAAAAAACCATATTCCAAATTTTAATGGAAATAATCATGCTCAATAAATATAATTTTTGATACAAAATTATTAAAGCAAAGGAAAATAAAACATATAAAGGAATATCTTATGATACTCAGAGAAAAAATATATAATCAGTGAAATAGTATCTCTTAATTAAAAAGATAAAAACATCCAATACTTCTTTCACAAATTTATCCCCTGGCTATAAAATACCCAGAAAACTATCAAATTTCAACAAAACTTCAGTATGGCTTTTGATTCCAGCAATATTGACGCAATAGGTATTTATTTTATCATAGTACTTCATAATATGTTTATCTTTAAGGATCAAGTATTATACAATAAAAAGTTTTTTAGCCAGACATGGTGGGGCACACCTGTAATTCTGGTGCACTGGAAGGCTGAGGCAATAACACTACAAGTTGGAGCACAGCCTGGGCAATTTAGCAAGACCCTGTCTCATAAAAATATAAAAATAAAAAAATAAAAGGGGCTGGGGATATACTTAGTGCAAAGGTTCAAGGTTCAATCTTCAGTATGAAAAAATGTAAAAGAATAAAAAGGGATGTTCTTAAACATCAGCAGGTATATGTATGTAAATCCAAAATAAGATGACATTTATGTTGTAGGCCTGCTTAAGAATATTTAGTTGGAGCCAGGTGTGGTGGCACATGCCTGTGATCCCAGCACTTGGGAGGCTAAAGCAGGAGGAGCGCTGTGAGTTCAAGATCAGCCTGGGCTACAGGGCAGTCTTAACCACATAGTGAGACCCTGCCTAAAAAAAAAGAATTTTTATTTGGGGCTATTCTAAGAACTATTCCCTAAAAATAAGATACTTTGAAATTAAAAATATGTATAGAAGTAATCTATTATAGAAATCCCAATTATTGGCAAATGCAAAGTCACCTTGTACCAAGAGATGGCCGACTCTATTCCAGGCTGGAGCAAGTCTAGCCATGAATGAATACGAAAGGCAGTTCTGAAGAATTACAGGAATTACTCTTTGTGGAACCTCCATCTAAAAATATTAAAGCAAAACATAAGCAAACTTATAGAGCAATTGCTATTTCCCTACTGACTACAGGAAATGTCTGCGTATTTAGAGCAACACCAATCAATAAACTGGGCTATTCTGGATGGAAATTATAGATGTTTTTATTACAGCTAATGTTATCTGTTTCTAAAATCAAAGAAGTGTTAAGACATATTTACTCTGAAATCATCACTATTGCTGCTATATGGCCAAATTCACCTGCTTATTCTGACCAATTAAGCCTAAACCTCAAAAGCTTGTGCTAAGAACCCACAACTTTGTATTCTGTTTCATACAGAGGAACTCAGGCCAGAGTGAGCTTGTCATATTTGTCATTATTTTCATTAGTTCAATATCAGAAATGGTTACTTACATGTGACAACAGATATCTCATTCATACAGAATTAATATTAAAAATCAAGACTTTCACTTCTGACCAATCAGTAATAGGAATCAGATTTATCCTCCCCCTTGACATGTCAACAAAAGTAGGCAAGCTATATTGAAACAATAGTTCATAAGATATTAGACATCAGGCAACAAAGACAAATGATACCCAAGAAGTGGGAAACCAACAAGATGCTCACTGTAACTTCCCCAGCTCATTGACTAGAGAGGGCTTCTAGGCTGCAGTAAGGAACAGGGAACACAGAAAAAGCCTCATAGTCTCCTGAATTGAGGAGACAGAGCTAGGATTCCAGAGAGGTCAAAGAAGTTAGTTTTCTAGTTTTGGGGTACAGCAAGGGACAGGAGAAAGCTGCACAGAGAGAAAACTCTGGAGATCAGTAGAATGCCTCTTGGCATCTGGCTGAACATGGATTAGCATGTCTGTGAAGAAACATGCCAAGGGTGGGACAAGAATCAAGGCTGTTTATTGTACAAACATCCTTGAAAATATCACCCAGAGGAAAAGGTTGTCCTTGCATCTGCGAGAAAGGCATGCAGAAAAGTGAGCTAAGGAAAACTGCCTCCCAATATTAACCACTCCTCATTTGGGGGTGGGGATGAGATAGGATCTCTCTTTGTAGTTCAGGCTGGCCTCGAACTTTTGGCAGTTGTCCCGCATCAGCCTCGTGTGCGGAATTACAGGCATGTGCCACCATGCTCAGTTCCACCTTTCATTTTTGTACAATTCCGGACTTTGGTAAAGTTTCCAGGATACATCTGACTGATCTATTAGCAGAATATGTTTAGCTTGTCTCAGAGAATTTAATTAAGGCTATCATCAATAGGACTACAAACAGCAAAATGAAGCTAGTCTACAATAATGACCTCAATCATGGCTCCAGAGCCCCAAACCTAATCAGCCAAATAAATCCTAAAAACCACCAGGGTTTACTGTAAAAAGTCAGATAGCTTCTTCTCAACACTGATTTTCTCCGTGACCCAAAGAACTACTCCAAATACAGCAGTAAATATTAGAACAAACCCAGTCTTGATATTCAAGAAGGAAGTATGGGGCAATTCTATCATCTAACACCAACTTTGCTGATAACCTGAAAATGATGTCATTGATCATTTTAGCTAATATCAATGACAGATTCTGTTCCATCTTTTTTACTGGGTGATTTTCATTATGGGAAAAACTGCTCACAGGGTATGTATTAAGAACAAATTATTTAGCCCTCTAGAAAGCTAACCCAAAATATTAAGTATGGTTTCATTGTACTGAAATATCTGCAACTGTCTGATTCTACTGATAGAACTACTGTAGGCATCTATGTTAGATAGAAATTAATACACAGTCATAGAGGGGCTGGGCTCTCCAAGAAGTCAGCACAAGGATAAAGATATCAGAATTATGGCTGAAGGCACACGTGAAGAAAGCCATGCCTCAAGATAAAGATGCAATGGCCTCCCTAGGGATAAACAATAATGAGACTATATTGTAATTAGCACCAGCTGGTCCAGTATAGATAGGTATCACTCACCCATGTGGGTGACAACAGCATCTGGACCCATGTCTTCCCCCAAATGCCTTTGTTCTTTCCATACATCCTTGCTATATGATTCATTTTCCTAACGGATCAATAAATCAATCCTATAGGTTGATTGAAGTTAGATCCATGTTGTACCCATATTGTGACTTTACTGTATAAGTTATGCCTGACAAAGAGCCTTGATGGCAACCCACTTTCAGGACCCTGCTTTTCTCTTAGGAGCTCTCTCTCAATAAACTTTTCCTACTCTTAACCTCCACTGTTCCTTTGAATTAATTCTGTGATATTTGGGGAACACAAACTCAGCACATCCGACACCTAGCAGTTTGGGAGTTATATTTCTCCTATATCAGAACTTTAAAAAGAACCAGACAAATCTACAGTAATAGATAGATATTTCAATAAACTATTCTCAATAATTGACAAAGAGAAATTAAGTGAGACTACAGTAGACTTAACAACATAATCAAGTAAACCAATGTGGTCCTATTAATATTACAGAATACTTTACACAATAAAAGCTGAATGGTCGGGGATATAGCTAACTGGTACTGCATCTGCCTGGGCAAGGGCAAGGTCCTGAGCTCAATCCCAGGTACCAGAAAAAAAAAGGGTAGCATGCACATTCTTCTCAGAGGATGTTCTCTTTTACTGAGATAAATTATATTCTGAACCATAAACAAACCTCAATAAATTTTTATAATTCAAGTTATATAGAACATATTATCTAATAACAAATAAATCAAGATCTCTGGAGAATCCTCAAATATTTGGATACTATATAACATACTTCTAAATAACTCATATATCAGTGAAAATATTAAATGAATTAAAAAGCATTTCTAGCCGGGCGTGGTGGTGCACGCCTATAATCCCCGCACTCCGGAGGTTGAGACAGGAGGATCGCTGTGAATTCAAGACCAGCCTGGGCTACACATTGAGTTCCAGATCAGCCTCAACTACATAGTGAGACCCTGTCTCAAAAAAACAAAAAAAAAAAAGCATTTCTAGCTGAAGAAAATCAAAAGAAAACACCTACTTCAGGGGAAAAAACACTACATTTGGAAAAAAAAAAAGTCCTCAAGTCAATGACTTCAGGTTTCACCTTAAGGAACTAGAAAAATAAGTGCAAACTAAACTAAGTGGAAATAAAATCATGAAGGAAAGAAATCATGAAGACCAAAACAAAAATCATTGAAATACAAAACAGTTAAACAACAGAGAAAAATAAATGAAACCAAAAGCTCATTCCTTAAATTGATCAGTCCAGTTGCAAAATCTCTAGATGACCAGACAAAATTAGAAAAGGAGAAAGAAAGAACAAAAGAACATGACACATATGACCAATGTCAGAATGAGAGGTGACTTGAGATTCTACAGCAAAGGAAAATAAGATAATTTTATAAGCAATCTTTAGGCCAATAAAATTGGGCAACCTAGACAGAATGATTATTTTCCTTGAATTAGATAATTTTTAATACTATCTATTAAATACATTAGTACCTATTAAAGAAATTAAAATTGTAGCTAAGATAAGGTCCAGATAGCTTTACTGACAAATTCCGCAAATATTTATGGAAGAAATAAAATTCAACACAGTCTCTTCTAAAAACTTATAAAAGAAAGGATTTTTTTTCTACCAGAAGATTTTTGAGGGCTCAAATCAGCTTTCAGATCATTCAAAGATTTCTTAGGGAATTGCAGAACACCTTCAGGTATTGTGAAATCTCATTACCCTCCTGGAACCTGAAGGTAGCATCTCATCTTTGAGATAACTGGAAATCTCACTGTCTTGAGCCCTGGCAGATTTAGGAGCAGGGCCAGCGGTGATGGCTGGGCTGGACAGGCTTCTAGAAGAAATACACAGTGCCACACAGCTACCTGCAGAGGCGTGAAATGAGCTTTAGCCAATGCTCCAAGACTTGATTAGCGAGATAAATGAGAGCTTAATAGTGTAAGTGCTCACGTATTCATTCTTTCCATAGCTAAAATCCAGAAGTTCATCATGATGGAGACTATAACCTATAGTGTTTTATTTCTCCATATATTGGCTATCTAATTTTGGACAGTAATTCCATCTCTCTAGGTTTATTTTTTTAATCTGTAAAAATGGGGAAATTCATTTATTTAAAGATGTGTATGGTAATGTACGCCACATGAAGTTCCTATAATTAATTAATCCAACAAAAACAAGACTTTTCCTCTCTTACTGTACTAAATGTGGACAAAATAATTATTTGGAAAAAACTGTTGGATTCTTTCACATGCATAATAAAAACTCCTAAGAAAGATACACCAATTTTTGTTGGCTGACAGAAGTTGAACACATAATGAATATAACAACATCTGGAGTTATTCTTTTAAAAACTTACCTTAGCTTCATATTTTTCAATAAAAGAATTAAGTTTCCCAGCTTTAAAAAATGGTATCTACAAAAAAAAATTCATATTTGTAAAGAGGACTTAACAAATATATAAATAATGTAATACATACAGATTTTAAGCATAATAGAGCAGAAGGCTCTGAATCATGCCATCATTCTAGCAGCATCTATGCCTTCAAACAGTAGTGACTATCACCTTGCTTTGCAAGAATCTGTGGGAACATGCTGAAAATAAAGAAAGCCTCCATAGCAGTGACAGACTCCAGAAGCCACACAATGAAAAGACCAATCGATCTTCTAAGTAAATATTTAACATCTCTCTTAATATACAATAAATGCTTAGACATGAATATGGAAAATGAACATAAATGGATGATCAAGTTCAAAATGCCTAGGTGCTCAACTTATTGATGAAGAAAATACAAATTAAAAAGAAAATAAGAAATTAAAGAAAGATATTTTTAACTTATCAGATTGGCAAATACAAGTATCTAAAAGGCTGCTAATCTAGTGTTCGTGAGAGTGTAAAAAAATAGACTCACTCAGCTGATATCTACTAAAATGTAATCCAACACAAACTTTTCAGACAGCAATGTAGCAGTACCTACACTTTTATGATGTGTTACAATCTCACCTATAAAAATTCAATCTTTATAAACTACCAAACAAATAAAAGTGATATGATTTCAATGATGGTTTTTGAAGCACTATTTGTAATAACACAAACTGGAAACTCAGATGTGCATTAGAAAGTATTAAATAAATTACTACACAATCAGATAGTGAAATATTTCACAGTGTTAAAAAAGGGAACCATATATGTTCTACTATGGAAAGACATCAAGGACAGGTTGTCAAAGAGACTGTTAAATGGGCAAATTTCAGAGTAGTATATATAATAATTCAATTTTCTACTTCATTTCTGTAAAAAATTTAAAGAATATAAGCAAAACTATTTCTAAAAAATATATGTCTACTTTCCTCTTATTATTACCCTTTCTAAGGATTAGGATACCTGCGTTCACTAGCACTCTTAAAACAGCATCTTCCTGTTCCATAACAATTTTCAAATAGAGAAAAATACAGATAACAGTCTATTTGTTCCAGTTGTGGTGGTGCATGTCTGTAATCCAAGCACTTGGGGGGCTAAGGCAGGAGGGTTGCTGTGAATTTGAGGCCAGCCTGAGCTACATAGTGAGTTCAAGGTCAGCCTAAACTAATAGCAAGACTGCCTAAAAAAAAGTCTACTTGTTCACCAACAATTTGTCTCTCTTGAAAATTATATTAAAGATGAGAAGATAAGATATAGACATACTGCCAATACCTAGAAGAACAATAAAAGAACTGAGGGTTTTGGCTTATATTGTTAGTAAAGGGTAGTTTTAATGGATTCTGAGGATTCACAATCTCAGAAAAATAGTATTTTCAGAAAGATTTTGGACAAAAAAAATCTCAAGATACAATTTTTGTAAAGGTTTTTGTCACTTATCATTTCTATCATATCCAACATTGGGAAATATGTTTCTAATTTCACTAAATATAAACATTTTAAAAATAAAATTTGTAACTAAAAGAAATATTGATCTGAATTCTTTAAATATAGTTGATTTATTGAAATTAAATGAGAAGCTTCTTCCTTAAATGTAAATCTAAAGAATAAAATATGATAAAAAAGCATTAAGCCCATGCTACTGTAAAGCGAGGTGTAATGCCATAGCCTGTAATTCCAGCACTCTGTGAGTCTGAGGTAAAAGGATCAATGAGTTTGAGTTCAGTTTGGGCAACTCTGAGACTTAGCAAGTCTTTGACTCTAAATAAAAAATTTAAAAAGGGCTAGGACTGCTAGACATGGTGGCGCACACCTGTAATCCTAGCACTTGGAAGGCTGAGGTAGGGGAATTGCTATGAGTTCTAGGCTAGCCTGGGTTATGTAGTGAGTTAAAGGCCAGTCCAAACTACACAACAAGACTCTGTCTCAAAAAGAAACTAACCCTTTCGATCCCGGGTGCCACAAAAAAAAAGCAAAAAAAAAAAAAAACCCCAAAAAACAAAGGAAAATAAAAGGGGCCGGGGATTTAGCTCAGCGGTTGGGTGGCCTGCCTCGCAAGCGCAAGGACCGGAGTTCTATCCCTGGTACCTAAAAAAAAAAAAAAAAAAAAAACCCAAAAAGAAACTAACCTTCCCCACCCAAAATAAAAGGCAGGCATGGTGGCTCATGCTTGTAATCCCAGCACTCTGGAGTCTGAGGCAGGAAGACTGCCCAGCTAGGATACGTAGTGAGCTCAAGGATGGCCTGAACTGCATAGCGAGACTTTGTCTCAAAAAAAACAAGGGCTGGGATATAGCTCAGTATGAAGGCCTACAGTTCAGTCCTCAGTATTACCAATAATAATAATAATAATAATAATAACAATAATGATAATAATATCATTATAGCCTATCTTATTGTTTATGAGAGAGACACTTAAATATTAAAGTTTAAACATCAGGCATATCACAGTTAAGTCTAATAATAGCTCAATCAAACTACAACAGAGTGATTAATCCTCATAAACCATCTGCTTCAATTTCAGCTATAGTATCTGAATTATCATCTGTCAATACTGCTCCCAACAGCAGGGAGTGGTGGTGCCTGCCTGTAATCCCAGCACTTGAGAGACTGAGGCAGAAAGATCACTACATGTTCAAGGCGAGCCTTGTCTACGTAGTGAGTTCAGCATCAGCCTGTACTGAGACCTGGTCTCAAAAAAAAAAAAAAAAGATAAAAACAAAAACAAAAAAAATATTGCTCCTAGTAATTAGTAATACTAACCGTCATCACCACCCAAATTTGGTTGAATATTCCAGGGACAGGTGATGCAAGGATATCTTCAAGCAAAAGTAGCAATTGTCTGTAGAGAAGAAATATATTATTTTAAATGTGGACTGCCCACTTTTATGCTTTTACTTTACTGGAATACTTAGATAATTTTCTTAGTTAAAAATTTCAAATTTCTTCTAGTTAGGACTTTACTACAAATTTCTGCATCTCTCCCCATAGGGAGTTAACCAATATGAATTACAGCTTTACATACCAATATTAATCTGAGAAACAGCCCCTGCATCTGAGTTTGTCAATCTTTTTCATGGGTGAATCTAAATTCTTTAAAACTGCATTTCTGTTGGAAGTATACTCTTGAAAAAAATCTAAATGCTCTGAGGAATTCACTTCTTTTAATTGCTATTCTACTTTTCTTTCTTCACAGCCATGGGAAGCAGTACTGGGGGCAAGAGTAGTTATCGATTCAAAATTCCACCTATCACCATGCACTAAATTAAAATCAAAGTGGATTAAAGATCTAAACATTAAAACAGAAACACTAAACTTGCTGGAAGATAAGTTAGGCAGAACTCTTGAAGACATTGGCATAGGAAAAGACTTTATGAACAAATCCTCAGAAGCACGGGAGAGAGTAGAAAGAATCAACAACTGGGATCTCATCTTATTAAAAAGCTTCTGCACTGCAAAAGAAACCATCAACAGAACTAAGAGACAACCTACAACATGGGAAAAGTTTTTACCAGCTGCTCCTCAAAGGACTATTATCTAGAATATATAAAGAACTCAAAACAATCAGCCCCCCCAAATATAAAGACCCAATTCAAAAATGGGCATCTGAAATAAACAGACATTTCTCAGACAAAGAAGTAAAAGCAGCAAATAAATACATGAAAAAATGTTCCACATCACTGGTCATTTGAGAGATGCAGATGAGATTCCACCTCACCCCACAAAGAATGGCTGCTATCAAGAAAACACGCAGTAACAAATGTTGGCAGGGTTGCAGGGAGAAAGGAATCCTTCTCCATTGTTGGTGCGAGTGCAGACTGGTGCAACCACTATGGAAATCAATACGGAGATACCTCAAAGAGCTGGGACTAGTGGTTCCATTTGACCCAGCAATCCCTCTGCTTGGTATCTTTCTAAAAGAATTAAAAGAATCATACCACAGTAATATAAGTGCACCAATGTTTATAGCGGCACAGTTTGTAATAGCTAAAACTTGGAAAAAGCCCCTCAGTCGGAAACTGGATAAAGTAGATGTGGTTTTTCTATAACATGGAATACTATTCAGTCATAAAGAATGAGAAATTAGTCATTCATAGGAAAATGGATGCATATTGAGGATATACTCTTAAGTGAAATAAATAAGTCACATATGTGTAAACACCAAATAGTTTCTCTGGTGTGAAAAACTATAATAATACACAAGATCCTAATGGGATAATTAATAGTGTGAAATAGGAAGAAAAGGGCTAAAGGTGTAGGGAAAGTGGGAAGGGTAGGGGAAAGGGAATAAGGGAAAAGAAAAAAATATGAGAAAATGAAAAAATGGAAATAAAAAGTTTGTAAATGGGAAGGAGAGGAGGGGTGAAGGGAGGGCAGGGACAAGGGGAAAAAATGAGAACCAAGACCACCTGTCATGTGAAGGTACAGGATCCCAGTAATAAATGTAACTGTGCTGTATACCTAGATTGTACCAATAAACTCAATAAAAATTTTAAAAAATCAACTAATAATTTTTATCTCCTTTAAACTAATTGTATAGGGCCAGGGATTTGGCTCAGTGGTTTCGTTTCCTGCCTCACAAGCTCAAAGGTCCGAGTTCAATCCCCCGTACCAAAAAACAAAAAATAAAACACAAAATAAATAAATAAATAAAGTAATTGTATAAATTCATAATATATAGCGTACCTTACCATGAATATAATCTCACCAAAGGACTTTTGAAATATAATCATAATTAAATTTAAAATATAGATTTTTTTTGTTAATATTATAAGACTTACCCCAATAAAAATGTTACCTCAAAGCTCAATTTGATGTATTTTAATACTCTCTTGCCTTTGTGTGTGTGTGTGTGTGTGTGTGTGTGTGTACCAGGGAGTGAACTTGGGACCTTGTGATTGCAAGGCAGGTGACGGAACCACTGAGCTAAATCCCTGGCCTTCTCCTGTCTTTTTAATGTGCTGTTATATTTTCTTTTTCACAAAAATTTTTGTTGTGTTTAGTTTTTATTTTTATTTTGCTTTGTGTTCTATGTTTATGCTTTTCACTCTACTAGAATATTTTCGGGTGGTATAACTGAAGGTACACTTTTATTGTTTTCTGAGCATATATGGGTTATGTTATATTCGCAAGTGTACTTGGATGTATTTCTAAATTTTTAAATTCCTTTCTTTTATTTTTGTATTCTTTAATAACACTTTCTGATTTTTCACTGTTTTTCATGAGTCTTGAGAAAGTATTATGTGTACATTTAGAATCATTTTATGGAATAAAGAATCTAATAGATATCTTTAAAAAATTCCACCTATTAACTAGAGTCTTTTCCGTCAAAAAGTATATCTTCCCTAGCCAGAAAGAAGTGGGTAGTAGTTTTATAGTAGTTTAACTTTCAATAGCTAAGTGAACTTATGACAGAATCATAATAATTCAAATTATCAATAATTTTGTTTCAAAAGCCAAGGTAATGATAAGGAAAAACAAAATGGAAGGTGGGCATAATGGCATATGCCTATAATCCTAGTACTCCAGAGGCTGACCAGGAGGATTATTGCAAATTTAAGGCCAGCATGGGCTATATAGTGAGTTCAAGACCAGACCAGCCTGACCTACATAGTAAGACCCTGGCAGCACAAAGAGATCCTATCTCAAAAAAAAAAAAAAATCAATACCAAAGTTTAAAAAATTTCAGGAATGAACATATAATGATTTCTCAGTAATCACAGAATTATACTTTACACTTCAACTAAACCACCTCAAAAAATTATTTTGGGTCAGATATGTCAAGGAAATTCTTGGAGAAATATTTTTTAGTGTCTTATATTAATTCGAAAATTAAGAAATTATACTAATCCATTTATAATATCTTTTAAGTGTTATAAAAAGAATATATACTCAGCATTTACTTTTATTTTTCATATTTACAATACATAACGAATATGTTCATCATGGGGAGTTGGTACATATGCATATTGCATCTTAGTCCTTTTTTTACTTCCCCGTCTTCTTTTCTTCCTCTACTCCTAGATGCCCTTTACAACTGCAAAAGGTCTACATCCCTGTTTCCTATCATCTTTATTCTGCTCCCTAACTTACATTTTGAGAATCCATATGCTATTCAACCTGTGTCTGATTTATTTTACTTATCATTATGGTCTGAAAGTGGGTTCATTTATGGCTGAGTAGTACTCCATTGTGCCTATCCACATTTTCTTTATCCATTTATCAGTTGATGGACATTCCAAGATTTAGCTATTGTGAGTTGTGTTGTGATAAACATGGATTTACATATGTCACTATAACATGATGTATTTTACTCTTTTGGGGAAGATAACTCAAAAGATATAGCTGGGTTTGAATGGAATTTCTGTTTAGTTTATTGAAAAATATCCATACTGATTTCCATAGTGGGTAAATATGTATTAATTAGTATCTCTTACATTTTCCTATGTTATTTAATTCATTAATGTCTAAAGATTTAAAATTTTAAAAAAGATCAAAGAATTCACAAATATTAAAAATCAGTAGTGAGAATGATAGGGAAAACTTTTATATATAGCAAAAACCTATAAAGTGTTACAATGTAAAATGGCTTCTGCTGTCTCTAACAGCAGTTTGCTTTGTTTAGTTTAGAATTAACAGGCACCAAAGGCACTAATTGCTGACTGAGTCATTTGGTCTTACCCTGAGATAACAGGGCACGTCAAGGTCTTGAGCTCCTAAGAGACTGGAGCCACATGATCCTAAAAGTGTCTAGATGAAAGAATACATTGCTAACATTTGCTCCCCTGGCCCTGAACACCCCCTTCCTATGAACTAGAATAGATAACTAGGTGGCTCTTAAAGGTAAACTCCCCAACTGCAAAGAACTGTTACATCTGAGTTGAAAAATTAACTATCTTGTGATCGTGATTTAAACTGTGAGAATGGAATGTAACCACCCACATGAAGTCAAGGCTGTAAAACCCCATAAAAGGAGGAGTTGTAACCCAGTGAGTCATTGATCCAGGCACGACTTATGTGCGATCGATTCCCATTGATGGAGTAAGTGTGTTATTTTAATTCCATTCTGCTGCCTCTCTGTGTGTCACTTGTCAATACCTTCTGTAAGAAGATGTTCCATCTCGAGTATTTTAAGATCTCAACTATCTTAAATGAAATCCACTCTGTTCAAAATTTAATTATTTTAAATATATAAAGTGAACATTTTGCTTTAAAGGAAATACTGCTGAAACAATTTGCATAGGTTTTTAAAAGTTTATAAAACTTAGCTAGCAGATATTTTTTTACCTGCACATCTTCATTTGGGTACTCCTAATCTCAGTATCTGCCATCCTGTTACTTAATATTATTGGGACAGCACACAGTTGGTGTAAATCTGGAAGTGTGATGAAGAACAGTGACTGCTGCCTAGACTCATTCATTTTTCCTGTTGACTGTGTCTCCGCAATCAGACCTTTAAATACAAACAGCAAAAGAACTTAGCAAACTTTCTTGCCAATAGAGTTTTTGCACCAACTCAACACATAACAGTTGCTCTGGGCTTGGTGGCACACACCTGTAATACCAGCATATGGGAAGCTGAGGCAGGAAGATCACTGCAAGTTCACAGCCAGCCTGGGCTCCATAGTGAGTTCAAGGCCAACCTAAACTACATAGAAAGACCCTGTTTCAAAAAAAAAAAAAGTTGATTCTGTATTAGAATAACAAATTAGTTAGCAAACTGGCAGTTTATGTTTAAGGTTTCCTAATGATGTTCTAGAATTGTTGGTTCAAGTTTTATTAAGCTAAGGTTAATCTAACATATGCCCACTAGTAGTGTACATTTTAATATTTTTTATTATATTCACAGACTTGTACAACTATCAGTGCAATAAATTTTAGAACATTTTCAACGTCCCAAAAGACAGTTTTACCCTATAAAAGTAATTAAAAGACAAATTGGGCCAGGGATTTAGCTCAGTGGTGACACACAAGGTCCTAAGTTTGATCCCAGTACCAGGAAAAAAAAAGTAAATAAAGACAAATGATACAAAATACCAGCTAATTTATTAAATGCCTAGTCTCTCTATGCTCTTCCTGTTTCTACCATATTGTGTTTATTTAATAAATTCCTTTTATAGTTTCTTAAGTTTCCTTTTGCTTTCAGGAAAACAAAATATTTCCTCTGACAGTACAATTTAGAAATCAAAATTCATAGTCAACTTATCTGTTATTTCAGATTATTTCTGTAAAGCAGTTCAAGATTGAGGAATATATTAGTTTTCATTTTTCATGAAACAAAATGTTTTCTGAGATATCTAAATTGCTATGTTTACTAAGATTTCTAAATTGTTTTCCACTAAGCTCTTTGGCTTTTAAAACTTTTATTTGCCTGTAATCTCAGCACTTGGGAGGCTGAAACAGGAGGATCACTGCAAGTTCAAGGCCAGCCTGAACTACGCAGTGGGTTCAAGGGAAACCTGAACTATACAGTGAAGCTCTGTCTCAAAACAAACAAACAAAAAACCTTTTATTTTGGGCATATTTTATAGCTGCTAATTCACAGGGCGTATCTTTAAATTTTATATTATGCATCACAGAAAATTGTAATACTGTATAAATGTAAAGCAACGTATTGAAGCTCAAGTATTCAAACATGCACAGTACCTCTGAGGAAGGTAACTTTAAATCCACTACTTTAAACTTTTAAATATCAACAAATTATCTCTAAGAAGAAAAACAATTACACACTAGGAATTCAACACAGGATCTTCGCCCTCTCTTCTCTACCCGGACTGTTTCCTGAGTAAGAAACAAAGTTCCAGAGCTACCGCTTTCTGAGGCATAGACGTACCAGCCCTACTCACGAGACGCGGGAAGGGCAGAGGAGACAGTGGAGCCCGCAGCGGCCTCACTCGCTCAAGCAGCTGCCACCTCTGTCGCCCGGACTGTGCTCTGGTGGCTCTCCTCAGCACCTTCCTCTCCAGGGCAGCAGCTCCCAGCATCCCCTGGGCTCCTGGAGGCCGGACTAAGAAGCTAGGACTCAGCTCCCAGCAGGCCCCGCGCTCTCCCTCACCTTCCAGTTGCTCTTGGGAACTGCTGTAGAGGGCTTGTGCTTCCAGCTGACTTCGTGCTCTCCGGAGGCCCGGTGCAACAAGCAGGCCCCGCGCTCAAGGCTGACACCTTATTCCTAGCATGATCCATAGTGCATGCTTTCTTCACAGAGTGCCTCAGGCCATTTTGTCAACCCTGCTGTCCTGACAGGCTCGCAAGGCACCTAGCGTGCCCCGAATACCCAATGTTCTTGCACACCAAGCCGTATCAGTTTTTTCTCACCAACCTCAGCTTTGCCTGATGCCTGTCAGGCAGCCGTGGCTATTGCCTAAGACAATAGCTGCAGGTGGTGGGGGTGGCTCATGAAAAAGGAAAGCTGGATCAGCGCAACAGGAAGGCAGAGGAGCCACTCGCCCCTCCGTGACTCTGAGTGTTGTCTGGCAGGTCGTGGAACACGTGTCCCCTCAAATTATGTTACTAGAGGTTGGTCTCCGTTATGAAAGGAGTCTTGGTTCTTGGATCCTCCCTGAATTACAAAGAGGCCCCTCCCCACCCAGCCCATCAAGAGCACAGAGTGAGCAAATAGCAGTTTTAGCAAGCAAATTTATTGGGAGATAAGCAGGCACCTTCGTGAAAGCGGATGCCCTGACAGATCGCAGGTCCCCTCAGACATGGAGAAGAAGCAGCGTCTGAAGAAGGCTGCTGCCCCCAGTACTGGGCTTAGCTTTTCGGAGATTGGGGACCAGTTCAAGGGCTGTGGCTTTTTTCCCCCCAACTGGCAGTGGGTCTTTACCCATCTTTTATGGTCTTGGCCCTAATGAGTTTGATCATGGTTCCATACTAAGGGGTGTAGGGGCAAACCACACGTTAAATATATGCTAATGAGGTTTATTTTGGTCAATCTGGGGTTTGAGTCCACCACATTCACGTGTTGACTCCACACTTACATCGTTGCATATGTTTGACCCTTCTGAGAAAGGCATGAGTCTAGATCTCAGGATGCCTCCCTGGATCATGTTCTGTTTGAGGTTTTCCTCCCTGCCACGGCTGCTGTTATCCCAGCTCTGGCTCATATCTAGCTAACTGCCTACTCTTACCATTTCTCATGTCCACCCTGTGAGACTTCTGAAAGTCCTTTAATGGTGCCAAACACCCACCACTTGACAGGTACCTCTCATTCATCTGACAAATATTTACTAAGCTTCTACCATATTTTTCTAAGGGTTGGTAATAGAGAAGTAAGTAAACTACTTTTTGCCCTGGTGATACCAAGATGAAATCATTCTTGTCAAACACACAAAAAATTAGATCTGGGAAGTAATGAAGGGAGAGGGCTCAGGTTTGTTTAAATACTCATATTAAGGTCCAAATGAGAGCTCTCTTTGCAGATATGAACTGATTTCTGTAATAAATTTTATCTTTTATTTATTTTTAATTTTTTTGTGATACTGGGGTTTGAATCCAGGGTTAGTGCATGCTAGGTAAGCAGTGCTACCACTGAGTTACATCCTCATCACTATAATACTCATTTTTAACATTGTTTATAACCCCAACATTAAAACCAGATGTTCTTAGCAGAATAATGCCCAGCAACAGTGTTATGAGCTGGTGCCAACTCTTTCCTTACTTTTCCAGGACCAATGAACATTATATTCTAATGGTTTACATAATTGTGCTTTTTGCTTAAAAGCTTACCTTTTCTTGCCTTTCTTGAATATTCCCATACTTTACTATGGTGTATATATTCCCGATGCAATGCTTTTTCACTCCTAATATTCTTTGGAGACCCCCCCTCTGATTGTTATTTGGGTTGATAGAAGTGGAGAGAGAACAGATAATAAGGTAAATGAAGAAAATCTTAGTATGATCAGATAGGAGCCTTGGAGAAGACTAAAACAGGAGGGAAACAGGAGTGTGAGGGAGAGGCCATTATTTTTAAGAGTGGTTAGGAAGAGAAGTGACATTTGTGCTCAAGACATGATGATGAGAGGTTGGTGACCTTGTTTATGTATGTCTAGGGAGAGAATGTTGCAAGAGAGAGAACAGGAGAATAAAGGTTTGAAAGTCATTATTGTGGCTACAGCCAAGGAGGAAAGAAATAGCAACATACAAGCAAAAGAAGAAGAGAAGTTGGGAGGCAACAGCAGTAATCCAGGAGCAGTGATTGAGCTTGGATCAGAATAGTAACAGCGGAATGGATGAAATGAGATTGGACTCTGTAAATTAGATATAATGAGATTTAGATATAGATTAATGTGAGGTCTGAGAGAAAGAGGGGTCGAGCATAACTCCAAGATTTTTGTATTACAATCTTGGGAGGATGAGGTTGTCATGAACTGAAAAGGGCAAGACCGTGAGAGGCGCAAGTTTGGATAAGAAGATCAGAAGGAATTTATATTAATTTTTGACATGTTGACATGAAGAAATAAGGAAGAAGAGCAGAGCTTCGCTGGTGTGGTATCACTCACCTGTAATCCCAGCACTCTGGAGACTGAGGTGGGAGGACCATTGAGAGCAAGGCCAGCCTGGGATAGAGTGAGTTCAAGGCCAGTCTGAATTACACAGCAAGACCCTGTTCAAAACAAAACTAAAGAGTAGGGCAGTGCATAGGAGAGGAGTCCTGTGGAAAAGACCTGAATTTAATAATAAGCATTTATAACCTGAGCACTCTACAGGAAAAAATACATATATAAATAAAAGAAATCCTCATACTTAATCCAGGGACACTCCCTACATAAATTTAGTGATATGGAGGAACCACCTGGATGGAAAGAATGTTAGGAAATTTTTTTCTAAGTAAGCGATTTGTTACTTTTCAATATCATACGTTAGAGGACTCAGAAATTATACTGAGATATAATGAGACAAACCATTTTTTTTATAAAGTGATCATCAAGGTATTTGTTATAGTGATGCAAAAACTAATGCAGTCGTCTTCAGTAGGACGCTTACTTGCTCTGAACTTCAGCTTCACTTTTAAAAACAGGTATAACAGTACCTATTAAGGTGTTAACATGTTCTTTCATATAAAAAGAAGTTATGTGAATTAATACTTATTATATCAGTGTTTTATATAAGTTAAAGACCATTAGTCTCAATTGTAGTTAACGTCATACCCATGGGGAAGAAGTATTACAATCTCTGGAAGTTCAAATGCTAGTCATATTTGCTGTGTGTCCTTGGGAGTGACATTTTGCTTCTCTATGTTACTGTGCGACGACTGTGTGCCACGGGGCAGTAACACAGAAGTCAATAGGTCAGAACCTTCTTGTTAGGATCAAATGAAGTAATGCATATGAAATGTTTGGAAATACTGTCATATACACTCAGAGGATGATTGGTTCATTTTACTAACATGCACTTTTCTGGATGGAAGGAACACCTTGAACTCAACCTAAGTTATAGTATGCTTGTGCATTTTAAATTTTCAAAATGTACACACAAGCCAGATGTGGTGGCACACACCTGTGATCCCAGCACTCAGAAGGCTGAGGAAGGAGGATTGCTGTGAGTTCTAGACCAGCCTGGGCTACATAGTGCATTCCAGGTCAGTCTCA